GTTGAGGGAAGGATATTAGAGGCAAAGTTGAAGTACTCTGGCCACATAATGAGAAGACAGGAAAGCTTTGAGAAGACAATGATGCTGGGGAAAATGGAAGAGAAAAGGAGGGGCAGACCAAAGGCAAGATGGATGGATGGCATCCTTGAAGTGACTGGCTTGACTTTGAAGGGGGGTGGCCATGGCCAACAGGGAGCTCTGGTGAGGGCTAGTCCATGAGGTCATGGAGGCAACTGAACAACTAACAACATTTTTTAATTTTTAGCAAATTGTTCCAGGTAAAATATTATAACACTAATGTGAGAACTTACTTCTTTCTCTGGTCTCTCCAAATCTGATGAACAACTTTAAATAAATATTTGATGCACTTTAAGCTTTCAAATCATGAGTGGACTGCAGCAACTAGATATTTTAAGGGGGACCTTGGTAAAAAAAAAAAAGGTTATAAACTGTTGATTTAGGCTAAAGAATTCTGGAGAAATTGAAACTTTGTACACATGAGTGGCAATTTGGCTGGTCCCAATAGAGGCATTCTCAAACTAAGCCTCTTTGGCGGGAGTCTGCAGCCAAAAAAGTGTAAAAATATTCAAAAGAACTTATGAATGTAACAGCTATACTAATCAACGACTTACATTAAATTCTGATTGAAATACACTATTCATTATAAACTTGGGAGGAAATGGAAATGAACTTATTGCAAAATGGAATGTTGTTGTGTTGTTCAAGTCATTGCTAACTTGTGGGAACACTTGGGCAAACCTAATATAGTGTTTTCTTGACAATATTTATTCAGAAGTGGTTCCTTTGCTTTCATCAGAAGTTCGAAAGTGTGATTTGGTAAATCATCGTGCGGCTTGGTAAATCGTTGTGCAGCACCCTGCATTGTCCTCTTGCCATCCCACAGTGAAATCCATCTGTCCCCAGCTTGCTCCTGCCTTGTCCTCGATTTGTCCTATGAGAACGCAGGTAGTCTCCTGTGTTCTCAGAACTGGCGCTTAGCATGCTGTGTGCACAGAGCTGGCATGGAGCCTCGCTGGAAACAGTCATGCATCATGTAATGGGCTCCATTGGGCTCTGTCCTGTCTGCATCTCAGCAGCATCTTAGGACAGTACTGAAAGCCCATGTGATGAGGATGAATGAAAGTCAGTCTCCTGAGGATATCCAGGTATTTAGAAATATCAGACACAAACTGTGCCTTGATAAAGTCTGTATTGTTCTGTCTGCTTTTCACTGAACTGTCTGAGCTTGCATGACCCTCTTCATTGTTTCAGAGGCTGACTCCTTTTGTGTATTATTTATATAATTACCCTATCACAGACTCTTTGCATTGCCTTAATCCATGTGATTAGCTCAGCCTGGGCAAACTATTTGAAATGCTCCGTCTTCAAATGAACAAATGACAGCTCTCTATTCTTCACACCATGGGGGAAACTCCATCCATCTCTGATGCCAGCAGGAGTCCCCAGCCAATGAAAGCCCAGATCCTAACTTGACCATTTTTGAGCCAATCGGGGGGGAGCTGGTCTTTTGAATGGCGAGTTTTAAAAACTTTTATCACAGGGAATAAAATGTCTTGCACTACCTTGCAAGGGTATGTTTTAGAGTGGAGACTCTGAAAGACATCCTTTCAGGCCTGAAAGTTAATAAACTTATGTCTATTGCCTTCATACCACTTGCCTTTACTACTTACTCAGCATCTGGCTGTCAAAGTAGCAATGTGCACCAGACAATAGATCCACACCACTCCTTTGCAGCCAGCTGAATTTCGACTTCAATCATACCATTAATATTGGGAGCAATGTTTCAAAAATTATAACATTATTAATTAATTAATCACACATAGTGTAATTTTGGAAGTTGAGAAGGAAATTAGCTACAGGTAGTATTTTACCAGAATTTAAAAAAATTAGTTAACTACAGAAATATAAACCATTTTACCTCAAATATGCCGACAGTAAAGTTTACTGATTAGTCCACTGACCTTATCAACAGTAAAAGACAAAAAACAAGAAAATACACAAATATGTCAATATTTATACAACCTATGGAAGATTTTTGCAACTGCCAGGTTGGAATGCAGAGAACACAAATTTAGCTTGAAAACCAACCAATCAAACCTGAGTTGACGGAAGGTGCATCTACAACATTGTTGAATTAATGTGGTTTCACACCAGTTTAACTGCCATTGCTCCATGCTATGGAATAATATGAGTTGCAGCTTGGTGAGGCACCATCACTCTTTGGCAGAGAAAAATAAAGATCTTGTGAAACTACAGCTCCCAGGATTCCAGAGAATTGAACCATGGCAGTTAAAGTGCTGTCAACTGCATTAATTCTGCAGTATAGATACAACCTGATTTCTGCCTGACATTTGCAGATCCTAAAGCCCCCATTACTTCTGCAAGTGGGGAGGAAAATCATATAGTATTTAAAAAAATATTTTGTTAACAAATCTTATAGTCTTGAAAACCCTGCAAAACAATAGCTTCAGAAACACCCTTATCTCCCTCCTTTTTGCATCTTTCAAGGTAGTTTGTTATTTTGTAACAGGAAAATATCATGTAAAACTTCTTCTTTTTCTTAAAGAAAAGGTCCTAGTGTGAAGTCAGATCCCTTGCTAGAATGCAAATCAAGATTTCGCCATCACGGTTAATAGTCCCCTATCACCACCTACTGGAGATTAATGGAAGAACTAAGACGTTTGTGGGAAAAAATCCAGAACTTTGTAAAAAAATGAAATACAGGTTGCATCTACATGGCAGAATTAATGTAGTTTGACACAACTTGAATTGCCATGGCTCCATGCTATGGAATTGTGGGAGTTTGGCAAGGAACCTGTAGGGAAGGCTAAAGTACTTGTGAAACTACAACCACCAGGGTTCCATAGCATTGAGCCATGACAGTTGAAGTGGTGTCAAACTGTATTAATTCTGTAGTGTAGATCATACATGGGCTGTCAACACCGTTTCAAGCATTTAGGACTTTGGCTCCAAGAAGTCTCAGCCAAGTAGGCCAATGGTGAGGAATTCTGGGAGTTGAAGTCCAAAACACCTGGAGGGCCAAAGTTTGCCCATGCTTGGTGATCCTTTGGCTCATTCAAGTGTTTAGGACTTCAACTCAGTTCTGGAATTCACTCCCCGGAGAAATTAGGCAAGCGCCCACCCTGGCAGCCTTCAGGAAGAGCCTAAAAACTTGGCTGTTCCAGCGTGCCTTTAATGAATGAACAACAATCCCCAACCTTGACCAAACCCTGCATAAAATGCCCTCGGATGCACTTTATTTCATCCCCTAGTGCAATTAAACCCCATTGTTTTGTCCCACCTGAACCTCCTTCCAGATACACTACATTGCTCATCTCATCCAGTGTTTTTAAACGTTGTAATCTTTACAACTGGTCTTGCCCATTGTGTCCAATTATTGTGACTTTATATTGCATTGTGTGTTTACTCTGTATTGTTTTTTGAATTATTATTTTCATTATATTTTATTCCTGTATTTTTTATGTTGTATATTTGCTTTGTTGTGATTGTTGGACTTGGCCTCATGTAAGCCACCCTGAGTTCCCTTGGGGAGATGGTGGCGGGGTATAAATAAAGTATTATTATTATTAACACCCAGAAGCCTCAGCTAAGTAGGCCAACAGCGAGGAATTCTGGGTGCTAAAGTCCAAAACACCTGGAGGGCCAAAGTTTGCCCATGTCTGGCAATCCTTTGGCCCTTTCAAGTATTTAGAACTTTGACTTCCAGAAGCCTCAGCCAGGTAGGCCAACGGTGAGGAATTCTGGGAGCTGAAGTCCAAAACATCGGGGGGGGGGGCAAAGTTTGCCCATGCCTGGCAATTCTTTGGCCCTTTCAAGTTTTTTAGGACTTTAACTCCCAGAAGCCTCAGCGAAGTAGGGCACTGGTGAGGAAGTCTGGGAATTGAAGTCCAAAACACCTGGAAGGCCAAAGTTTGCCTACACCTGGCAATTCTTTGGTCATTTCACGTGTTTAGGACTTCAGCTCCCAGAAGCCTTAGCCAAGTAGGGCAACGGTGAGGAATTCTGGGAGCTGAAGTCCAAAACATCTGGAGGGCCAAAGTTTGCCCATATCTGGCAATCCTTTGGCTTGTTCAATTGTTTAGGACTACAACTTCCAGACGCCTCTGCTAAATAGGCCGATAGCGAGGAATTCTGGGAGCTGTAGTTTAAAACATCTAGAAGGCCAAAGTTTGCCCACACCTGGCTATCCTTTGGCCCTTTCAAGTGTTTATGACTTCGGCTCCCAGAAGCCTCAGCCAAGTAGGCCAACGGTGAGGAATTCTGGGAGCTGAAGTCCAAAACATCTGGAGGGACAAAGTTTGCCCATATCTGGCAATCCTTTGGCTTGTTCAATTGTTTAGGACTTCAACTCCCAGAAGCCTCAGCTAAGTAGGCCAATAGCGAGGAATTTTGGGATCTGAAGTCCAAAACACATGGAGAGCCAAAGTTTGCCCACACCTGGCAATCCAAGTAGGCCACCCATTTTGGAATTGGGAATCCTTTGCCTCGTTTTAAGTGTGTAGGACTTCAACTCCCAGAAGCCTCAGCTAAGTAGGCCAATAGCGAGGACTTCTGGGAGCTGAAGTCCAAAACATATGGCGAGCCAAAGTTTGCCCACGCCAGGCAATCCTTGGCCGGACTTCAACTCCCAGAAGCCTCAGCCCAGTAGGCCAACGGTGAGGAATTCTGGGAGTTGAAGTCCAAAATTACTAGGGAAGGGGTTTAAACTGAGATACGCTCCCACGCCTCTGCCTGACGTCACTTCCTCCTTGGCTAGGCGCAACATCCGGGGCTTGTGGTGGTCCTCGAGAAAGTTTTCAGAGTCGAGTGGCGCTTGTTTATTTTCCGGCAGGGAAAGCGGCGGAAGAGGGGAGGGAACCCTTGGGCCCGCCCCCTCCCACCCTCCCGCGCGGCCGTTGCCATGGCAGCGCCGAGGGGCGTTGGAGGCGGCGGCGGAGGCCTGTTCCCTTCTTGCCGCGCCTCCTTCTCCTCCTCTCGGCCGCTGCGCCTCAGTCCGGCCCGCTGAGGAGGCCTCTGCTTCCGGCCCTTCAGGAGAAGGCAGCCAGAAGGATGGCAGGCGAGCTGGAGACGCTGCGAGAGGAAGTGGCCGCGCTGGAGGCCGAGGTGGGCGCCTGTCGGAGCCGCCTGGAGCGGGAGAAGAAGCGCCGCCTCAAGGCCCAAGCCGCCGCGGCCAAGTGGAGGAGACAGGTACCAGCTCCACCAGGCATGGGCCAACTTGGGCCCGCCCTCCAGGTGTTTTGGACTTCAACTCCCACCATTCCTAACAGCCTCAGGCCCTTTCCTTTTCCCCTCAGACGCTTAGTTTGGCTGAGGGGAAAAGGAAGGGGCCTGAGGCTGTTAGGAATGGTGGGAGTTGAAGTCCAAAACACCTGGAGGGCTGAAGTTTCCCCATGCCTGTTCTAGCGCCTTTAAAACTAACAGAGAAAGAAATTGTAGCATACTTTTAAATTTTTTTTATTGATTTATGTGCACATAGGGAACAAAACCAACACCAGAGAAAAAAACAAAATACAAAACAAAATACATAAAAAGATATACAAAAGAGTATGCAAGTTTACAGAATGGTATACAGTCAGTGCTCGTTAAGCATATGAAAAATCAACTTTGACTGGACAGTTATACCTTAACATTTATTGTCCCTCTAACCAGTGTTTCTCAACCTGGGGATCGGGACCCCTGGAGGGGTCGCAGGGAGTGTCAGAGGGGTCGCCAAAGACCATCAGAAAACACAGTATTTTCTGTTGGTCATGGGGGTTCTGTGTGGGAAGTTTGGTCCAATTCAATTGTTAGTAGGGTTCAGAATACTCTTAGAGTGTAGGTGAACTATAAATCCCAGCAACTACAACTCAAATGTCAAGGTCTATTTTCCCCAAATTCTACAAGTGTTTACATTTGGGCATATTGAGTGTTCATGTAAAGTTTGGTCCAGATCCACTATTGTTTGAGTCCACAGTGCGCTCTGGATGTAGGTGAACTACAACTCCAAACTCAACGTCGATGCCCACCAAACACTTCCCGTGTTTTCTGTTGGCCATGGTAGTTTTGTGTGTCAAGTGTGGTTCAATTCTGTCATTGCTGGAGTTCAGAATGCTCTTTGATTGTAGGTGAACTATAAATCCCAGCAACTACAACTCCCAAATGACATAATCAATCCCCCCCAACCCCACCCCAATTCAATTTTGGGCATATTGAGTATTTGTGCCAAATTTGGTCCAGTGAATGAAAATACATCCTGCCTATCAGATAATTGCATTACAATTAATAATAGGAGGAAAATTACAGTTATGAAGTAGCAAAATAATGTTATGGTTGGGGGTCACCACAACATGAGGAAATGTATTAAGGGGTCGCGGCATTAGGAAGGTTGAGAAACACTGCTCTAACCCCACACCCATGAAGCCAACTCCCATGACCTCCGACACCACTCAGTATGGATCACATAACTAACCCACAGCTACCCACACAATAATCATCATCATCATCATCATCATCTTTATTTATACCCCACCACCATCTCCCCAATGGGGACTCGGAGTGGCTTACATGGGGCCAAGCCCTTCCACATGCACAATGGAGGACCTTCTCACAGTGACACTAGAGGCACTCCAGGTGGTCAGCTTCTGGTCAAAGGAAATTTAGTTTTTAACTTAGTTTGTGGCTTTTTAAATATACATTATAACTGTACTCTCAATTTGCTTCTGACATGATAAATAAAAATTACCATGGCTCGGTGCTATGGAATCTTGGCCATTGTAGTTTTACAAGTTCTTCTCTGCCAAGGAGTGATGGTGCTTCAACAAACTAAAAATCCTGGATAAATCACACACTCTCAGAAAACCCCATGAAAATGACTTGAAGGCACACAATCACAACAACAAACTGTTGCATAACCACCCTTCCTCTTCCTCCTCTAGCATAGCTTCCCTCAGTAATGTTCCTATTCTGGGGGGAAAACCATTCTGCTCTGTTTTTGCCTTGCCCAGAGTGCTCTGTTGGATTAATTTAGGTCAGAAGTGGCCAGTGGCATATCCCATCTTCCCACATAACATGGCCAATGGCCAAGGATTGTGGGAGTTACTATTCCAGCATCTGGAGAACAGATTTCCTTCATCTGATGAGTAAAAGGAACAGATCTGTAAAAATTGCTTTCTATTTTATATCTTTTACATTTATATCTTGCCATTTCTTCAAGGAAACTTACAGAAGCATACATGTTTCCAGATCTTGCCCTGCCCTACAACTACCATACCTTGTGAGATAGGTTAGGATAAGGGAACTTGACATCCAAGAATTAAGCCACATTGGGTCCCATATGAGTGAAATTTGGAATATAAATTAAAATAATTAAATAAAATATATTAACTATATGATTAAATAGAGTTGTGTATTTGGGCTTCCTGCTTTTGATGTTCTAGCTATTGCATTGTAGGGCAGTGGCAAGGCATCTGTTTGTTACTCTGCAATTTATTCCAGTTTCTTGTGTTTTGCCCTCATCCTGTCTGTCTCCAACCTGGTTACCAACTCCCCTCATGTCATCTAGCGTTTTTTGAAAAAAAATGAAATGCTAGTGCCTGTCTTTCCTTACACATGCCATAACTTTATCTGGAGAATCCAAAAAATTCCTACAGAGGACCTATATTGTTCTATGTTGATATGGTCAAGTGACAGGGATAGTTGTACTGCATATCAGAATTCACCCTCATTAAATTACCATATACTGATTGCTGACAGCCATGGAGGGCCCAGAGATAGCACTTGTCCTCTTTTCACCCATGGTCATATTTGTGAAACTAGCAGTTATGTTCTGATATACATGACTTTGTAAGGTTTCGACATAGCAAGTAGGTGGAGAATTGTACTTCCTTGACCAACAAGTCTTTGTTTTTATGCATAAAAAGTATGTACACCACCACTGATGTCTTTAAAGTGTTCCTGCCAGTCTTTCTGATTTTCCCTCATCCAGCTTCTAAATACGTTTTTTTTTTTTTTTTAGGTTGAAGAACTGAATAAGAAAATCAGTGAGAGCAAAGGAAACAAGAAGGCAACATGCACTGTAGAAGTACAGACAGAAGATGTTTCATCATGGTCAGATTCAGGTAGCTAGCCAATGGTGCGACTTAATGAAGTACTCGTGGTTTGCTCAGTAACCTTAAACTTGTAGCTTTGTTTCCTAATGTACATATGTAACAGAAATAACTAAATTAATTCTGCTGCTCTATTATGGGAATGCCAGTATTCAGAACATTCTGCCATATTGGTTTTTCCTGGCTGATTTAATTGTGTCCTATAGTAGTCCTTGTTTTCATGTAATTCTACAGTTTGGTAAAATGTTAATTTAAATCTTGAAGTAAAGAATCAAGGTTGGATTGATGTAATATCCTCAATGTGGGACTACATTTGAAACTACAGCGGCAAAGAGGCTTATGTATGTGTGCTTATTGCTTTTCCATGTGCCCAGCTGATGATAAGAGACAAGGCCTTCTCACTGACTGCACGAGTATTGTGGAACATTTTGCTCTGTGATGTAAGAGTAGCTTCATAAGCTGAATATCTTTTACCCACAAGTTTTTTCCTGCTCTGTGTTTGTTTTGTTTACAGATTGTTTTATCTGTGACCCTGATCTCTAAAATCATAGAATCATAGAATAATTTTATTATAAAATAGAAAGAGGAAACCAATTGGTGTTTTTCAGTATGAACTTTTGTGGATTGCAGACCAGTTCTTTGGGCATATGAGGAAGTGTATGGAAAGCTACAAAAGCTCAGTTAGTTTAACAGACTGTTTCCCCATTCATCTTTCCTTTTTATGCTGCAGTATGCTAATACAGCTATATTGTTTTTGAATTTTTATTTGATCCATTCTTTTATATTGCGATTTAAAATCTTGTGATCTATTTGTACTATTTTATTTTTATAGAAATGAAATATTATATAATTTATATAAAATATGGCTAATTTTACATTTATTTTGCAGATTACTGCTACCATAATTATAACAGTTCTGATCCTCATGATTTACCCAGTGTACCAGTGCAGTCAGATAATACAGAACCAAACTACAAATGTGCAGATGAGTTACAGTTAAGTGATCATTCACATGTAAACGGCACAAAGCATGATGAGCAAGGGAAACATGACTGTATAATCCACAATGATCAGGTGAGCTGCATTTTGTTATTATATTTCTGACCTGTTTTGCCGTCAAGATGTTGATGTGTACATTTATCATGTATTATTTTTATGATAGCCCTATGTTTGTAGTATAAAAGAGGATCCATGAAAAACTAGCTAAGTAGGCATTATTGAACCTGCATGTACTTACCCAATGCAAATATTCTTTTCAAAAAAATACTATGGTTCTTGTTATTTCATATGTTCTCATATACAATGTGATCCTACTTTATGTTGCTGTAGTCAACAATGCAATTTTTGATGAAGAAAAAGGTTGAGTTCTTCAGATAGTTGTATTGATTTTTTTTTCATCCATGCTGCATCAGCAGTAGAGAATAAGGCCATTCTCGGCTCCTGGTGCTTCGTAAAAAAGAGCTTTATTGATTAATTATTAATTTCATATAGTACTGTATTTTTAATATTATAATTGAGATGGGGTGAACATCTAACTCCTGTGGACAAAATGCATAAGGTAGTCTATTATAGTAGTTAAGAGTGCTAAGTGAAGCTGGATCCCAGGTCCATCAGGGTCTTAAAAGACAGCCTTGGGAGTAGCAGTATTTTTGGCATGCTGTTTCCCATCTATGATAGCTATATTTTCTAGTACTCTTATGGTAGGAAACAACAAATTGTAAAATATTCTGTGCTTCACCAAGTTGTCATTCATGTTGTATTTCTTTTTTAGAAATCAGAAGATCTTTTGTTAACAGAAGGTACATTAGCAGAAAGTCTAAGAGCTGCTGCAGAAGCTGCTGTATCACAAACAGGATTCATATATGATGAAAGCACTGGATTATACTATGACCATAGCACTGGATTTTATTATAATTCGGTAAATATTTAATTTATTACTTTGTGAAATAAATACATTTTACTAACAAATATAAGCTAATTGGATTTATTAAAAACAGTTCTTGTAACAAATATTTTGTGAATGGCTTTTTCTTGAAGTAATAGGCAATGCTAAGAAAACAAAAATAATGCTCACCAAAATGAAATATCCACTTTCTAAGGCACTAGATAACTTCGTACAAATTGGCACAAGGGTAGTAATAACAAGGGTCTGGAACAGTACAAAGGCCTTCAACTGGAAACCTGATACTAAAATTTTGATACATTGCCTTAGTGAAAACATTAATTTCTCAAGTAGGATTTGGATAGGTACAATTTTGTACTGAAGTTGTGAAGGCCATTCCCTCAACTTCATCTATTTTACTTGCACATATGGAATAACAGTTAACTCAGTAATGTCTGCATATTACATTTCTATGCAAAAGATGTTCAAGAACTAAATTGTGAGGTGTAGAATGTCTACATTTTCTCTGCCAGTCCACATTGTACCTTACATATATAAAAACATCAAAACATTCTGTAGTTTTGCTTATGCATATTTTTTTGATGGTCTCAAATATAATTTACCATTTTTATAGATATGTACATACATTTTTGCTAAACCTTTGCTTGCTATACTGAACTCTTTTCAGCTATTACTGATTTAGATTTAGTTTTAGTTGTATCTTCCTTGCATACTTTCTATTTCCTAAACTTGTGCATACTTCCATTTTTAATCATGGTATTTTCATGTATGGTTTGTTTATTAAGTTTTGAAATACGTATTTCCTTTTTAATGATTTTCTTAAAGGAATCCCAATTGTATTATGATCCAGCCACTGGAATTTATTACTATTGTGATGTTGAAAGTGGTCGATATCAATTCCATTCACGAGTGGATCTCCAGTCTTATGGAAGTGAAAATGCTCAGCACAGCAAAGATAAAAAAAGCAAAAAGAAGAAAAAAGATGCAGAGTGGTCTGTGGCAACTGAGCAGAAGGTAACTTTTTCAAGAAGCAATTTTGTTAAACATATATCTTGGAATACATTTATTTTAAACATATATTTTGTTATATGCTGTAGATCAGGGGTCCTCAAACTAAGTCCCAGGGGCCGGATAAGGCCCTCCAAGGTCATTTACCCGGCCCTCGCTCAGAGTCAACCTAAGTCTGAAACAACTTGAAAGCACATAGCAATAACAACAATCCTATCTCATCAGCCAAAAGCAGGCCCACACTTCCCATTGATATACTAATAATTTTATATTTGTTGAAATTGTTCTTCATTGTAATTATTGTATTGTTTTTAAGTGTTTTTTGTACTACAAATAAGATATGTGCAGTGTGCATTCATTCATTCATTCATGTTTTTTTCAAATTATAATCCGGCCCTCCAACAGTTTTAGGGACTGTGACCTGGCCCTCTGTTTATAAAGTTTGATGACCCCTGCTGTAGATCATATTTAAAATAAAATAGTGTTTAGTCTCAAATTTTAACAATTTAGAGATATGATAATTCTCAGATGTGTTCATTTGTACTATCTGATATAGATATTAAAGGAAAGAAGGCACTGAAGGACAGGCCTTCAGTGCCTTCTTTTTATCTGCATGAATTGATAAAAAGTGTGGTATTTCATTTTGATAAGTAAGGATTTCTCTTAGAGTTTGAGGCTGCTGTATTTGGAACTTAATTGCCTTGGATCAGGTGATAGGGAGGAATAGTTTTGTTAAAAGGTGTGTTTTTTTCTTTAATCATTGGGAGGAAGTGTCCTTTTGATCTGGCTGATTGGCAGCATTGTTCATTTGCCTTTTTCTTTGTAGGCTGATTTAGTTTTCAGTCATTCAGAAGTTTCATATGGTATACTTAACACGTTGCTTTCTGTTCTTGGCAACTCTGTTCTTAATTATAAAAAAATGATTTATATTGTTTATTTCTAATGTAATAATAATTGAGAAAGGAAAATGTGAACTTTATTGAAAAGGTGACATAACTGAGAACATTTCAAAGTAGCTCCACCTGACATGTGTAATAATTTGAAATTGCTGTAACTGCCATGAATCCATCCTGTGAAATCCAGGAATTGATAGTTTGATAAAGTATTTATAATTCTGTTATATAGTTCAGGGGAGTGCATCAAAGCTCCCTGGCAGAGAATTTGCATCTCATTAAGCTATACATTCCAGGATTCCATAAGCATCATTAGAGATGGTTTGTAAATTATAACGATGATCAATCATTTGTCTTAGAGTCAGAAGCTTTAATGGCCTTGCCACATGTGAATGGCAAGGCCATTTAAGCTTCATTTGTATGTGGTCAGTATCGATGTACAGCCATCTAATTTATGTTTCCGGTATTACTCCCATTTGCTGCTTTTGCTAGTATGCATTGTCTCCCCAATGCAGTGGTTCCCAATCTTTTTTTAACCAGGGACCACATTGACCAGGGACCACTCCAACATTAGTATCAAAAGAGTTTGGAATCAGTTTTTGGTCAACTTTAGATTCGGTTTGTTTATTTAGGGTGCTAATTCAGAAAATTGCACTGAATAGACCACATCAGCTCTACTTTCTGATACAGAACATATGCCATCTAGTAGTCGCCATCTGTTTTTCCACAGAAAACGATATTTAATAATCTAGAGCTGATGTGGGCTATCCAATGCAATTTTCTGAATCAGCACCCCAAATAACCCCGGGAACAGGCTTAAAATGAAGACACTAAGAAAAACATTTTTTGGTTGGGCTGTGTTATTATCCCTGGATTTTGTTAACGTTCAGCACAATAAAAGGGTTTTGCAATACCAGTCACTCTGGTTGCAACAGTGTAGTAACTGTGAGGCTGCGGGACCATATTTTAGTTCTTGCGTACCACTGGTGGTCTACAGACCACAGGTTGGGAACCACTGCCCAAATTAATACAATTATTTGCTATCAGGGAATTGTCCTATCATCTTTGTTGTTCATTCGTTCGGTCGTCTCCGACTCTTCATGACCTCATGGATCAGCCCACGCCAGAGCTCCCTGTCGGCCGTCACCACCCCCAGCTCCTTCAAGGTCAGTCCAGTCACTTCAAGGATCATCTTTAGTTACTTTTTATTCTGCTTGATTCTTCATATAATCCAACATATATGTTTCTGCACTTTGTATAAGAGCTTTATACAAACTGAAATTGTTGAATTGGAAGACAAATATTGGATATCTCAGATCAGTGTATGCTTATAATTTGGCAGCAGATAAAAGTTGATGCCCAACCAGCATACACTGTTTAAAGGGAACAAATAAGGTTATTTTCCAATTAGAAATTTGTTCTCATTTGTTCAACATGACTTGAATATATTAGTGAAAGTATCAGAGAGCCCGTTTGGATGATTTTGTTTTAATATAATATTCTGGGTTCATTTTGGTTAATTTGGAAAACAATTTTGTTACTTTTGGGTTGATCCATTTAGTTTGAGAGTACTTTAGGTAGAAATGAAGTTTAGAAGAGTAAAGCAGGGCCAGTTATATTTATACTCATTTGCTGCAGTTGCTTTTCTCATTTGCTGCAGTTGCTTTTCTCATTAGCGACTAGAATGTGGAAGGATGGGTGTTTTGTTTTGTAATTCATACATATATAACATGATTGGGGATTGCATTTAATTTCATTGTACAATGTACAATGACAAAAGAGTTAATTTCTTCTATTTGGGGAACTGCATCATAGATTGGCACCCAGAGGCTCATTCACTGACACCAGTCAATGTATCATCATTTCAATAGCACTGCTATACATAGTCTACACAAAAGTGTATGTACAACATAGTTTTTAGCAATAATGTTGAAAATAATCAAGGTGTGAGCACCTGGGGGAGCCTCTTTTCCATTTTTAAAACCTTTTGTGTCACACACAAAAATAAAAATAGATTATTGAAAATTGTCTTTTAAAACTATAAATAAAAACAGTTTAAGACACGACGTTTGTGTATTTGTTTCCCAAAATAATTTGCACAATTTTGTGATAGAGAGACTGGTGTCCCTATGTAAGATCATTGCCATTCCAGAATTCTTTTTATTGACACCATGGAGGACTAGGAGATAAATAGTGTCTTAGTTTTGCTAATGCTGATGGTTTTTCATCTTTTTATTCCCCCCCCCTCCCACTTCCTAGCTCTTTAATCACTTGGCAGAATCAATCACTTCAGTTGTTTTTTTTACAAGAAAAGGTAAATTCTTCCCTAGAAAGATGATAATGAACTGGAACTCACAGTAAAAAAGAAACCCCTAGAGAGTTTGGGAAGAACTGTGACAACTTTTTAGGACAATTTATCTGTATTTCAATGTCTCCTGTTAAAACTTTGGAGTCTTTTGCTTGGAATCATTTGCTGTATGTTCAAATCAGTCTGATTTGGCTCTGTATTTGGGATTTGTCCAAATTTGGAGCCTTCTACCTTGAATGCTGTATGCTAAAGATTTTAAATGCTTTCTTCAGAAACATAAGTTCTATCCAGGAGAAAGGTGGGATGTTAAATAAAAAAAAAATAAAACACAGCTATAGGCATGAAATATGTGTTTGGTTAAGATACCTCAGTTATAGAAAGTGTTCTCTAAAATGTGCGCCTGTATATTATATTCTTTTTGTTAATTTAAGGGATTACTTAGTGTGTTCTTAGTTGCCTCCTCCTCATACTTGTAATAGTATGACTTTAATGCTTAGTGTTTTGTTATATGTTTACTGTTTGCCACATTTGTATTAGATGAAGGATGGTATTCAAATGTTTTAAAGAAACATTGAATAAAAAGCTACCTACGTTTTACTCAGAACATGTGTGTTTCATGGATACATGTCATAGTGAGCTGAAAAGATGTACAAAAATTGTTGCTTGGTGAGAGCTCTGTGCGATAGGTATTTGCATCCAAAGGTGCATTACATTTCTGTGTGCAGATTGTGAGATTGGGTCTTGTATTTTAAAAGTCATCCATGGTTTAGTGAAACTAAAGTTGAAGTCAGTTTCATAAGTAGAAGTATGAGAATTGTCTATCAGTTGGACATGCACAAGCATTTACCGTTATATAACACTATTGGAGTTAGTTTTGTGCAGCTTAACACACTATGCAACAAACTCATTATCTTTAATAGGTAAATAGGCAAATAGATATGTAAATGTGTCTCTGGCAGTGACTGAAGTCAAGATGGGAAGGCTAACTGGTTCTTTCCCCTATAAAGGTCGCGGGTTCACAGAATCTGAACATTTACCAGTTAGTGATTTGGTGATCTTTGCAGAAGCTTTACAGATAATTTTGAAATAGTTTATAAATCAAGTGCATAGGTAAAAAGTTTAGGTGCGGGTGCAGGGATATGGGTAGTGATTTATTCTACTGAATCCAGTGTCTGAGATAGTGCCTAGTAAAATGAATGTCACTGATATGATGCATTGCGAGGAGACATTCCCTCTGTTGCTGTTGCCCGGAAGCCTCTTAAACATGGATCGGTACAGTCAGTAGTGGCTTGTGAATTTATATTGGGGACAAATACTTGGCTGCTACTGGAGCTGGCTGTGATATCCTTGTGACATATGATTTATAATCCTGACCGTTTGCATAAAATGCATAAGATTATAAACACTTAGGTTGCAAAAAAATAAATAAAGGGAGCATATGTCAAGATTTGTCTGTTGGTTTTTTAGACTCCAGAATAAAAGTCCTTTAGAATTTGGAAGCAATGTAGTCTTGAGACAAGAAGTTTCCATAATAGTCAACACACACTTCATTTTTATGTTGCATTGTTTATTGTTTGCTGCTGTTCATCTTTAGGTACATCATTTGACAGAAACCATGGCTAATCTGAAGATTTCATCTTCTGGATTGGCAACTTCTGGTAAAGGTAGAGTTATGATGTCAAAGATGTCAGTCTATGGGCATTTACCACAATCTTGAGAGGCATTAAAAGTAATATATCTAGCTATAACGTTGGCTAAATCCTAATTTATATCTATTTATTTTAGTTAAGAACAGTTAGAATCTGCCTCAGAAAAGCAACAGGATTTAGTTATTTCTTTTGTAAAATAGTTCAGTTGTCGTATGTTTATTTTTTTAAACATAATTTGGTTTAAAATGGAACCTGAGCACAATTTGCATATTCGGTTTATTTATTTTATTTACTGTATTTATATACCACCTTTTTCACCCCTGGGGGAACTAAAAGCGGTTTACAACATACTAATGGCAAAAATTTAATGCCAACATACAGTACACAAAGAAATCATAATAACGAATCATTACATATAACTATGAACTTAAAATAAATTAAAACAATTAAATGTAAGACATATATAAAATGTAAACATTCAGACAAAGCATAAAATCATCCTAGTATAAATGGGAAAGGGAGACTCTTATGAAAAGCTCCTTTTTCAAGTGGATAAAAAGAGTACTGGGGAAACCCATCTTCAGTTGTCAAAAGAACTGCCTTTCAAGTATTTAAATTATTTTTAGATCACCTATAATAAACAATAATACCCTAGAGATGCCACCCTGTATTTCAGAAATGATTTCTCCAGTTTGATTATGTACTTTCTATTTTATATTCACATACCTGAGCTTTTCATGGACATTCACTTTAACTCTCACAAATAAACATTGCTCTTGTTCAGTAACACCCATTTCTAAATAAGGTGCATAAGGTTAAAACAAGTAGGTTTCATATGTACATTTCATGTCTAGAAATAGACATATTGTATATTGCAATATATATGTGGACTGTCAGCAGTAGATGCAGGATGCATAAAGTTTCTGTTTCATTGTACAGTAGAACAATGGTACTAGTAGAGCACCTAGTCAGAATATATGCTTGTTCAGAAAATAAATGAATTTAAAAATAGTAATCTTGGTTTAGTTCAATGTTTTAAATTGATTCTTTGATTATAAATTAATTTGATTTATATTTTTCTCATCTGCTTGAAGTAACTGTGAGAAATGCTGCTTCTCCCTCTCCTGCTTGCATGACACCTGCTTCCATTTTTCTTTTCCTAACTACTGCACTTTTCCAACTTCACTTTTCCCAACTATGTGCACTTTTTTGTCTGTATCTCTTTTTTCTAAATGGAATGCTGCTGCAATTAGTTCTTGTAGCATTGCATCAAAAATAAATCCTAGAGTATCAAAACTTACATAGTCCTTGTATGCATCACAAAAAGCATATCATCTCCAACTCCCAAGGGAGAGAGCAAACATATATCCTAAAACACACCCAGTTATATTCCATTGGGTGTAGCCCAAATGTACTGGCATTAATGAGCACCTGCATATAATGACCACCAGAATGAGTTTTTTTCATGAACACATATATCTACTCCAACCTTGGTGTTGATTCTTGCAAAACTCACCCCGTTTTCTGTATACCTTAATAGTATCCACTGTAGAAATGATGGAAAGAAACGGGCACATCAAGAATCAGCAAAACAGATAGAAAAGGGATTTAACCATCTAGTGTCATTTGTCATAACTACTTAACATGAAGAGAATACCAGTGGCAAATTGTTTTAGATATAATCACTGTGATCTCTGTAATTGAAGATGTACAACCCCATCTCTGAGAATTACTTTGACAAGCATTTTTGAAAAAGTATATTTCAAGTAAAATAGTTGTATGTGTCCATAAGACTTTACTTTTTAGATAATTGTCCTTTTTTCCAATGAGACATATTTTCTATTAGAATGTATTCAAATCAGTGAGTGTGTTGAGTGTCCATTCTCCAGGACCTCTTCAAACATGCCGCTGGAATCGCGGCGGATTGTGGGAACCTCACGCCCCACACCATTCTGGCTTCTCCCTGCTTTATCACATAATGGTAACATAACATAATGGTAACATAACATAACTGGTCGGCTTGCCCTGTTAAGGGCAATGCAAGCATGGGAAGCCTCCCGTGTTGCTGCTGGCAGCTTTTTTTGGCAGCAACTCTGGTTCTGCAGCAGTTTTGCCACGGAGCTGCCCCAAAAGTACTATTCCGGTGTGTAAATGAAGTGGCAGGCTCTGTGACAAAGCTGTTGTGGAACCAGAGTTGCGCCAAAATTTGCCCCATGTGAAGAGATCCCAAGAAGTGTCGTGTTTATATTAATAGGATGCAAGATGCTTCATAGATTGTATGTTCCCACTCCATATGTATCTTTCAGTTAGAAAATTGGGTCTGTGTGGAAGTTGGAAGATAGATTACTGATTAACTGCTGAATGTGATTACAAAAAGAGAAGCTTGTCAAAAGTAATCATTTGCATTTTATTTAAAAGAGTTTTGTCTTAAACTAAGCTCGTGATAGTTAATCTATTACACCATCTTATTTATTGTCTGTGCGCAATTTCTTAACAATTTTCGCATATGAAGCCAGAGCTGCTCCTCTGTATTTTAAGAAGTATTTAACATGTATCATACGGCCGCTGTAAAACTATATTTTGTTAAAACTATACCTGGTAAAAAGTTATTACATCTGAATGGGCTCTGTGAGAATATGAGAAATACTTTGTACTTTACAAATACAGTTTTTTCTGTGTGGAGTAGAGAGTGTTTTGTGGTAATGTTTGTTCTTTTTGATTTACATGGGTAGAGATCAATCCAATAAATTGGATTTTGGTGAGATTAAGAAAAAGGATACTAGAATAGATGCTTATTCAAAGAGATGACGATTCATAATTAGAGCCTGTTGATCATATTTAGAGAGATTGAACACTAGTCATTTCTTACATGGCTGTTACAAATGGTAAGAAGCTCTTGGTTATTAAACACAGGTGGGGTTATTGAAACCTTTGGGGGTTGTCAGCACACTGTTGGACTGGAATCGAAAAATATGAGCCAGCTTTAAACACTTCAGTATAACTGTGAATTACTATAGCATCTGTTATATGAATCCAAATTTCATATAAAATAGTTGTGTTGTATACACAATAAACCATTCATTCATTCATACTCACAGTTAATAATTGGGGGGGGGGGTGTGTGTGAAACAACAGGAAGTGAGAGAAATCTACCCCTCAGAAGGGAAATTCACTCCTGGAAGAGTTATGGGGGAAAGGTCTCCACATAAGCTTTCTAACCAATCCTTTTTTTCCACAATAAACCAAATTTTTCAAAATCCAATTATCACAGGAGCAGAAAGTGAAGTGAAATCTTATAAACAGGGTCACAGACAGCAAAACAAACACTACAGGGGCATTAACCCTTCTCTGTGCTATCCAAGATTAAAACAGATATATTTTTGGCTGGAGTTACACTTAAAAATGCACCTGTTCTAACTTACAAAAAAATTCAACTTAAGAACAAACCTACGGAACCTATCTTGTTTGTGACTTGGGGATTGCCTGTACTTTAGAAGGAAATTCTGGCCTGTCTACTTTTTTTGTCTAGCTAGCTAATGCTGCTGGAGCTTCAGGCCTGCCAATGGTGTTTTCTAGGAGAAAAAAAAGTGATGTTAGTTAGGAAAATATTGTGTCTTCTTCCCATATGCTTTCTGACAATTTGGAAATGATGGTTGGTTGACTTGTTGTCCAGTTTGGTGGTTTCACTGCTGAGAAAAAATGAGGCAGAAACATAGGAAATGCTAATGGGTTTGAGGGATCAAAAACGTTAATATAACAAACTCTGATAGGAATGCCTGGTTAAAAAAAAGACTGTCCCACTAAAAAGTTAATGAAGGGACCTGTAGATTGAGGGTAAACTGACCAAAAGTCAATGCTGATGAGGATTTTACCATAATGGCTTACAATAGATTTAACTGATGATCAGATATCGCTTGATAGTATTACAAAGGTATCTCTAAATATACCAGCTTAGTCACATATTTGTGTCAGATGGTTCACAAAATCCAGTTCATTTTTTTAATTAAAAAATTCTCAAGTTTCATTCTCTATAAATCTTCAGGAATTAAACACAGATGAACAGAAATCTTCCAACAGTCTGAATTGCCTTTCTACCACCGATGAAATAAGTTTGCTTGAAGAGAAAGACTCTCCACATGTGAAAAAAGCTAAATTGGACATTGATACAAGAAACAGATTAACAATCAAAGAATCAAGTATTCCAAATAACAATTTACAGCTCAAGAACACAAAATGTACTTCTATAGATGACAGTAAAACAGAGACTGAGAGTGAACCAGAAGAAGGTGAAATTACAGACTCTGAACAAGAAGAATATAGCAGTGAAGATGAAGTGTCAAGTGATGACACTGTAAATTCAGAAGATAATGACAGCGAAGGTGAATTACGGATTTTTTTAAACCAAGTATTCCCAAATAATTGCAGGTTGAGGAACAAACAAAACAGATACTGTAATGGCAAAAACTTAAATCTACAAGTTTGAATTAAGGTGACAAAATCAGTGTCTGCACTGAAATTCCAAAAAATTGCCCAATACAGTCTCTCCGTTGTATAATGTTCCAGAATTTAATTAAATGTGGATTGTAGTATTGTAAAAATCTTGTTAGGTATCACATGTACTATACAAACTGCATAGCTAATAATTGGACTATTTAGATGACATGGTGTTGAAATAGACTATTTTCCTACTTGCTTGGTCCACACTGTGAACAAAACATGTCTTTTGCTGCCTTCCTCTGGAATATAGCATTCCTAAAGGTGGTTCATTTCTGTCTTGTTATTATTACATATTGCTCATAAGAATATAAGCATAACTAACCTGGAGCATTCAAGAGGGCTATTTAAGCCTGCTTTCTGTTCCTACAGTGGCCAATCAGATACCAATTGGGTGCATAGCAGGATATAACAGTACCCTCCTTTTGCACCCCTCCCATAGTATCTGTCATTGAAAGGCATATTGATTGTTAAGCAAGTGGTAGGTACTTACAGTGATAGGTAATTTCAAAAAATTCTACCTCATTTGAATACATTTCTAGGTATTAGTGGAGTGGTCAGGGTTTTTAGAAAATCTTGAAAATAACTCATAGTATTCCTCACAAGAGCTGTTCTCTCAGGTGTAGCAGCTTTCCTTTTCACCTAATGTGCCCATATTATCTCTGGACCATTTTGCAAATTTAGTATTGGCTTGCTTTCTGCCTTTAGAAGTAGTGGGACTTCTGTCTATTGGCTTTGATTACTACCAGAAACTCTTTTTAATGTTGCTTTATCTGCTTTTTTTCACATATATAACCAAGATGCATTTCTCTGGCCCAACAGCAATAATTCCTGTGGTCAGTTGATGGGTTGCTGGATGTCCAAACTTTTTGAAATATGCTCAATTAATTGAAATAGTTTGATTCATTGAGCCATCTGTTTAACCCTGTCTTCCTCAACCTGATGCCATCCATAGTTGGAATGTTGTTGGTACAATGATAGTTTAGCGTTGCATTATTCTAGTGCTCGCACTTCCTCCCCAGTAGCACAGGGAAGCTGTGATTATCATAAAAGGATATCACAGCCAGCTCTGAGCCACTTGTATCTGAATGCCTGGAGCCAAGTTAGTCCAAGAGTGATGGCTTACCAGGGTTGTCCAACCTTCCACCCTCCAGGTGTTTGTGTCCCCAACTCCCTGAAGCCCTAGCCAGCTTATCGAATCCAACTCTGAGGGGTGATGCTCATCTCCATTTCTAAGCCAAAGAGCTGGCATTGTCCGCAGACACTCCCTAGGTCATGTGACCAGCATAACTGCAGAGTGCCGTTATTGTCCTGTCAAAGCGGTACCTATTGATCTACTCACATTTGCATGTTTTCGAACTGCTAGGTTGGAAGAAGCTGGAGTTAACAACGGGAGCTCACCCCATCCCACAGATTCGAACTGCCAACCCGGTCAGGTGGTTCAGCGCCCCACGCCCCCCAACTAAAACTACCACTAAGTGGTATTCAGAAAGTTGTTACTGTTGCCAATTTTTTCACAACCCCATTTTTATGGGGCACCTTTAAGCACTAGTCTACCACATCTTGAAGGCACCAGTTTGAGGAAGCATGGTTTTAACAGATTTAATGACTAGGCTGTATACTGATAGTTTGAAAATAAAAAGAGCTTACAAAATAATTGCTATTTTCCCTTATGGTTCTTTTTTTTAATTGTTGTAGATATTGACAAGATCTGGCCGCCTTGTATTAGAGTGATTGTAGTAAGATCACCTGTACTCCAGATGGGATCTCTATATATCATCACAGCTGACAAACCTGCCACAATTGGAAGGTAATTCAAGTGCATGTACAAGAGAGAACAGAACTGGGTGCCTTTTTACATCCTAGTTTTCATTTTATTTGAAATGCCATAGATTTCTACTTATAATGAAACTAAAATATATACTGGTTATGATAAATTCATTTAGTTACTTTTCATATAACATTACCCAACTAAAAAGTATTGGACCAACATTTTATCTGGTTCTCATATAGTAGTATATGAGGAATAGGTACTGAGCAGTTGAACAAAAGGAATGGTGGTGTGGAATTTTGTTTGAATGGGTATGTAAAGCTACCAGCCAAAAGCAAAATTATGTGTTGATTTAGATGTGCATTAACAGAAGAAAGCGGCCAAACACTTTCTCATGTTTCCAACCTATCTGTAGTCCATTCAAATCAATATTCTGGTGGTTAAGTGCCCCTGTTGATTTTGTTAGAATCTGGCCTCAGGGGTAGGTAACTTTCTGGATACACTTCCCTATGTTGTGTTTAAGAACCAGTACTGCACATGTTTTGTATTTTTTTCCACTAGCTCATTCAGCAGTAAATTATTATACAAGGCCATCATAAAAGGTAAAGGTTTCCCTTGACATTGTCTAGTTGTGTCCGACTCTGGGGGATGGCGCTCATCTCCATTTCTAAGCATAAGAGACGCCGTTGTCCGTAGAAACCTCCAAGGTCATGTGGCCAGCATGACTGCATGGAGCGTCATTACCTTCCTGCTGAAGCAGTACCTATTGATCTACACACATTTACATTTTTTCAAACTGCTAGGTTGGCAGAAGCTGGGGCTAACAGCAGGAGCTCACCCCACTCCCTGGATTCAAACTGCCAACCTTTTGGTCAACAAGTTCAGCAGCTCAGCTGTTTAACCTGCTGCGCCACTAGGGGCTCCTTTTCATACTGAAACTAAATATAGCATTTCAACAGTTCTCCTTGTAACTCTTGTTCTGGGAAGAATTAGAGATTATTTACTAGAGATTTATGTCCTTCCATAAACTTCTAATTCCACTGATAAAACTGCACTGTTGATAACTTAAGGTAGTCTCAAGCCATTTCCTGAAGTTCCTTAATTATTACATCCTTTTACAGAGCGAAAACTATGGAACACACACTCCAAATTCCAGAAGTGGGTGTTAGTAAGGTAAATTAATTCATGATGGAATTTCATATATAATTTAAAGTATGTTAAGGAAATATAAAAATGATTAAGTTACTACATTTTAAATATCATACATTGTTAAAGAACAGCTTATCCTTTTTTTGTTTCCTTTTAGTTTCACGCAGAAGTATATTTTGATCACGAATTGCAAAGCTATGTTCTTGTGGATCAAGGCAGTCAAAATGGTACTGTTGTTAATGGAAATCCAATTTTGCAGGTGAGCATTAAAAAGGGGAAAGTATTGTTCAATGCTGTGGGTTTGCCCAACAAGAGAAATTGCCATATCTTCTCTTTGAACATTCTGTGTCCGTGCAGTGCTGTTACCACTTGCATTTTCTTTATGATATTCCATGTTGTTTATTCTCCTTTTTGAAGCTATAGCCGCCAAGCCTTTTATCAATATTTACTTTCTGCATCCTGGATCTTTCTTTTTCTTTCTTTCTGCCTATAGCCCAAAGCAAAAAGTGAGCCCCAAGTTTTGGAACATGGAGATGAAGTGAAGATTGGGGAAACAGTATTATCCTTTCACATACATCCTGGCAGTGAAACCTGTGATGGATGTGAACCAGGGCAAGTGAGAGCCCATTTACGCCTTGACAAGAAAAACAAATCTTCTGGTAAGTGATAAACTATTGGTTATTAACATCTCATGGCCAACTTCCAGGGGAAAAACATAGATGAAAACATATACATAATAAGATATTTTTTAATAAAATAAATGCTTCACCAATTAAACATAAAGCAAAGTAAGCTTTGTTGGGTTGCTGTGAGTTTTCTGGGCTGTATGGCCATGTTCCAGAAGCATTCTCTCCTGACATTCCACCCACATCTATGGCAGGCATCTTCAGAGGTTGTGAGGTTTATACAGACCTCACAACCTCTGAGAATGCCTGCCATAGATGTTGGCGAAATGATATGAAGGCACACAAGAACAACAACAACAACTTATACAATGCACAACCACAGATTGACCCCAGGGTTCCTGTAAGTTTTTTGGGCTTTATGGTCTTGTTCCAGAAGCATTCTCTCTCGACGTTTCACCTGAATCTATTGCAGGCATCCTCAGATGAAACGTCATGAGAGAATGCTTCTGGAACATGGCCATACAGCCCAGAAAACTCACAACAACCCAATGATTCCAGCCATGAAAGCTTTGTTGGTTTCTAGTAAAAAACCCAAATCCTTACACAAACAGTATCCTTATCATGTGTGTATGTGCTTTCAAGTAAGCAGCTGACCTATGGTGACCTAATGGATTTCATAGCATTTTGTTAGCCAAGGAATACTCAGATATGGTTTTGCTAGTTCCTTCCTCTGAAATTTAACTCAACGGCACCTGGAATTCACGGCTGTTCTCTAATACAAGCACTAATTAGGGTTAACCCCAGCTTAGCTTCCAAGTTCAGATGGGATCTGGTGACACAAATATACACATTGAGCATCGTCTTTGGTCAAGATGAGAAGGAGGGGAGGATGTTATGGTCCCAAAGTCTGGACGATCCGAATCCTAACAGGAAATAAAGGATGAGACACAGGTATAAATGGTGGCTGTAGTTAGGGCTTGTCTGTACTGGCCCTATACTCTGGTTTCAATCAGAAACAATTCCTGGAAATTCAAATGACATTCGGGGCATCCTGTGTCTAACACAGGGTAAAACTGGTTAACCAGTATTACCCTGTGTTAGAAGTCAGGGAATGCTATGAAATTTTGACAAACGTCTGAAGCAGCCCCACCCTCCAGGGTTAGTGTAGACAGCTGGGCCAGCTCTAATTTGAAGCAGTCCATTGTCCACATGGCCAGGCACCACCAACCATGTTTATCACCCCACTCCCTGGATTCAAACTGCCAACCTTTTGGTCAACAAGTTCAGCAGCTCAGCCTAGCCCTGGATTTGAGTGTCTGTGTAACTCCTCTCTTAGTCTGATTAGATTCAGGCATTTTGTGCAGAATATTTATTTATTTATGACATTTATATGCCGCCCTTCTCACCCCGAAGGGGACTCAGAGAGGCTTACGAGATATATATGCATACAATATATTATATTAGTATAGTCCAATATCAGTATTAAATATTACTATATTGTACTATACCATTATAGTATAGCAAATTTCCACCTCTGAAGCAGTCTTTTTCTTATCTGATTGTCTTCTCTGGATGGACATTTTACTGCAATCTTTTTTTAAAAGTGAAATTCTCTTCCCTGTTTTTTAGTTGGTCTTTCATTGACAAAGGAAGAAAAAGAATTAATTAGAAGAAAAGAATTGAAACAGATACGTGTAAAATATGGCTTACAAGTAAGTCTCCTTTTTTTAAAAAAAAAGTTTGGATTATACATACCATTTATCTTGCATATAGGTCAACCTCATGTTTAAAGTCCAAAACACCTGGAGGACCAAAGTTTGCTCAAACCTGGTGTAGATACACCCCTAGTTTCTCTAGCATATATAAATGTTTAAGCCAAAGGCAGGTTACAGGTCAAAATTAGGCATTTTGATATGATTTATGAATTAGTCAAGGGTCATTCCCCAGAGAGGGGAAATTGCCAGCCCCATCTCACCGGGGAGTGGGGGAGGTCAGCTGCCTCTGCCCAGTTTCTGCCATTTTTCCCATTCAGGCATCCTAAGAGGCCAAAGTGGCATCATGACAGAGAGCATAGAGAGGGTTGCTACTTCTTTTAGGTTCTCCTGGAATTGGCTAAGTTTTCACCTTTGGTCTCTTAGAGACTTAGAGATGGGAATGGTTCCTTTTTTATAAGATTTAATGTACTGTACTTTATCAGGTTTTTATGGCTGATTTTTGGACTAAAATTTCTAGAATTATTATATGAGTTACAGCAAATGGATTTGAGAATCCCTTTCAAATAATTGCACTTTATAGTTAACATGTGTGGTGAGATAAGAATTTAAATAATGGCAATTGCCTTATGTGCCAGTTTTTTCAGCAACATGTATTTGGTTCTTTTAAAACAATAACCTCTGAATCTGGAAGTTTCATAAAGCCATAATTACTGGTTGACATGGACGATCCCATATCTTGATATTATGAGACATGGGACACAGGTTTTATAAACCTGCCATGTCTCCTTCTCCATTTTTTTTCTCAACATTACCATATCTCCCTTTGTGAACCAGCTAAGAGGCTAAGATCATCTGGGGAGGCCCTGCTCTCGGTCCCGCACCCTTCACAAGTGCAACTGGTGGGGACAAGACAGGACCTTCTCAGGGCCCTTCCACACAGCCCTTTATCCCAAGATATCAAGGCAGAAAATCCCACATTATCTGAGTGTGGATTATCTGAGTGTGGACCCAGTTCAAAGCAGATATTGTAGGATTTTCTGCTATGATATCCTGGGATAAAGGGCGGTGTGGAAGGGCCCTCAGTGGTGGCCCCTCAGCTATGGAACTCCCTCCCTAATAAGGTCAGATCAGCCCACTCCCTACTGATCAGAAAAAGGCTAAAGACGTGGATGTGGAATCAGGCGTTCAGTTAATAACCCACTAGAGAATTATGGAATAGTGCAATGACAGTATGATTTTGGATAACTTGATATTAACAAGTATTTTAAGGTTTGATATATTTTAAATATTATATTAAATATTATTATATATGTTATTATATATGTATGTTTTACATGGCATTGAATTGTTGCCTATATATGTAAGCTGCCTTGAGAAAGGCGGGGTATAAATAAGGTAAATAAATAAGGCAAATAAACATTAACTTTCCTCATAAGGAATGTATATAAACCCCCCTGCTGTCTTCACTACCTCTTCCTAAATTAAAAAATTGAGAAAACTAATATTTCCAAAATTGCAGACTAAGTATGGAACAATGTCCAGCAAACTGGTTTAACTGTAGCTACAAGTGCGTGCTTGTGTTATTGAATGTTTTCTTTGGGGAAAAAAATCACAGACATGATTTGTGTTTTGAAAAGAATACAGAATATGAAAATGATAAAGCTATAAAAAATCCAAATTACAAAGACAGAGCAGAAAAGCGGCGCGAAACAGTTGGGAGTGAAGGAAATTTTCACAGAGATGATGCTCCAGCCTCTATTCATGTGTAAGTCATTTTGATTTCTATTGTTTGGAATATAATGTTATTGTTATTCTCACACACTTGCATGTCATGGCCATTCATGAAGCATGAGTGTATGCTTTTAGTAATCACAAATCAAATAACTTTGATAATATGCTTACAAATAAGTTTAATTGTCTAATTTAGTCATTTAAGTTGTTTTAGAAACACATTTCCCGCAAATAATATACGCTTTCCTTCATTTTGTGTTTTTGTCTTTTGTTTTGACAGTGAAATTAGTGATAGCAACAGAGGTCATAAGATGTTGGAGAAAATGGGATGGAAGAAAGGAGAAGGTCTTGGAAAGAAAGGTGGAGGAATAAAGGATCCGGTAGGTGTATTTCATTATGCAGATTCCACAGGAATTGCAATACTACGGAAATCATAATTATTTCTGAATAGTACCCACACATACATACATATAGAGAGGGAGAAAATAAGGACTTCTCTTGATGTTTCTATGCCTGAGTAACTACCACTGTGCCAATTCTTGTAACTTTGGCACTTCTTGTGCCTTGTATTGTTAGCAGAAAGTACTGAAAAGATGCTTTATGATACCTTTTGGGTAAATTGTTTTGCCGAATTGGGAAGAATTGATAAATCTTTTTTATTAATTGAATGATGGTGATGATACGTGTACGAGAACTATGATGGATGTAGGGAAACAAAAAGCAAGCAGCTATTCCAGATGTTTCATATTTTGCATTATGTAAATGAACCTTGGGTAAATGAACAGACTGGACAGGCCTTTGTTATGTGTAGTATGGTTAGCCTGAAGTAGCTGTTTGAACTAGATTTATTATTTATTTATTTTGTTAAAATATTTACATCCCATCTATAGCATGGAATCTCAGGGCGGTAAACAGGAAAAACAAGTTTAAATAAAAAAAAATTAAACAGACAAAATGTGTTCAATATATCATGGGAGATCAACTTGATAGGTTAAAATAGTTTGCAACCATGTAAACTTACCAAAGAAGTAATTGAGACCCCAAAGGCCTGAATAAAGTTTGGCACCAGAGTGAAAATAAAGTCTGTGACTATTAGATCTTTATGAGGACAGCAAACCATAAACAGGGAGCCATAGCAAAGAAGTTAAGGGCTGTTCCCATCAGTTACGGTTCACATGCCTAAAATATCAATATTATCATCATTATAATACCGTGCTTTCCTTTCTTAAATGAGACTCAAAGCAGCAGAAAGTGAAATTTGAAAAAAATATCAAGCCTTAACGACGTGTTTAACTATAAAAAGAAAGGGTATTTGATAAACATTCAGTCTGAGTGGCCATTGCGAATTACATAAAAGTAGCAACATCTGATACTGTTCCTTGTTAGTATCTATCCTTTTAACATTATGGACTTTTTTTGAAAAATGTAAGGATTATATTGTTTTGCATTAGTTTGCAACTAGCCACATTGGGTACCCCAAACCAAAATGGCAGAGTAAAATTCATAACAAACACATTAAAAAAGTAGTTCTGTTTTCCACATGCTCAGCTCTCTCAAACCTGTCAAGGTTATGAAATAATTACATGTTGAACATATATTTATATGAATTTGATCTCTGACAGATCAAGCTTCAGCTGCACAGAAAACATGCTGGCCTTGGTTCAAGTGTTCCTATCTCTACTGAAGACATTCAGATCAGCAGCAGCAAGAACAAAAGAAATTGGGATAAAGCAAGAGAAAGATTTGCGGAAAATTTCCAGGACTCTAAATCTCAGAAGAACGTATCTAAGGAACTACAGAATGAAACTGATTTAAATAGTTAGAACACTGTTTTATTTTTTTGCTAAAGTATAAGTTAGATAACTTCAAGTATATTTCTTTTAGGAGTTGTATAGGCAGATCACCTGCAATCTATTATTTGGTTTATGTATTGTTTTTGTTTTACTTCTAAGTATAGGATATTAATGAATTAAAATGGTGCCGGATTTAATCAAAGGGATTTGAGATTGTGGAACAACCAAGTAATTTAGGAGAGATGTTATTTGCTCACTTAAATAGCAAATATTTTAGTCTGTTTTTAGACTGTGGATCTAACGAACTTCTATAAAATGAATCACTGTATTATGTTCAAATTTGGTATCCTTAACATGAAAGAATCAGCAGTGATCCACTTCTTTATATATGAAATCATTGGACTTTCTAGAAGTTTACAAGAAAAACATCTATTGAAAATGTGTTATTGTTCTTTGAGATGAGGAAACAATGAACAAGAATGTTTTTTTTTCTCTCTCAAAAAGAACATGTTTTTTTCTTCTGTGAAGAATTTGGGTAGCTTGTTCTGAAACTGCCATGATATCCAAAGCTGTTCTACACATTAAGAATTGAAAGTACACTCTTAGAGCAATATTTGTGGCAAAAACCAAATGGGGAGGTGTCAGGTGATTCCTGTACCCAAGGAGCCTCTTTGAAAACTTAGCATGCAAGCACAACTGTAGCTTGTTCTTCCCAAAACCTACTAACACAATATGCAGGGAGATCTGAGGTAGAAATATTCACTTGTGCATTATGAAGTGGTACTTCTGAAGTTCTGTACTGCATTATTCTTAACAGACATGAGCCTATTTGTTTCACTGGTAGTGCATGCATGCTAATGCAGATGACAAGGTAGGGGGGCAGGGGGCTGCTGGCTTTGCCACCTGTTTTTCAAATGCTGGATGGGACCACAGTGTCAAGGCAGCATGGCTTGGACAGTTGTCCATGTCATGTATGGGGTACAAGTAGCATGCAGTCAGTAGCTTGTTCTTTCTGCTGTCATCTCCCTGTGTACATGTACAAAAGGTGAAACCGCTAGGAGGGTGCCCCATCACATCCTAGCCAATGTGTAGACTAGCCTTAGTAGGGTGGCTGCACCTTCACGCCATGTGGCAGTAGGCCTTTACAAATTCACTGGAGTGGCTTGAGGTTTTCTGCTGACCATCATTACTCTGTTAGGCCTATTCTGTATCCATTGCTGGCAATGGAACTTAGCCCAGTAATGTTTTTCTCTCTGTCCCAGAACAGAATACTTATTTATTGAAATGTCAATAAAATAATGCTTTCAACTTACTTGGTGTCTACACTTCATGCTTCTCCYGAGTCTCATGTGTGCTCTGTTATGTTAACATTATTATAGCTTCTAATAGCATAGTTTCCTCAAGTGTTATTCTGCTTATTTAAAGATGCTGAATTGCTTAAACTGAATTACACCGTAGGAAGAATTCTCAACCCCCCCCCCCCCTCCAAGCACTAACAAAATTCTGGAAGAGGCTAGAAATTCTAGTTTTGAGACTTGGTTTTGTGGTAAATATCAYGGAAAGAAACCTTGCAACCTATTTTAAAAATTGATTGTTGGTCACAGTAGTTTTTCAGCATCAGTTCCCTTTTTAGGCCAGAAAAATCGTGATCTGAGAAAAGACACAGAACTGCAAAAATATTTCTTTATTTACTATATTTATACCCCACCCTTCTCACCCCGAAGGGGACTCAGGATGGCTTACAAGTTGGCAACAATTTGATGCCACATAAACAGAGATACAAACAAACAAAAACCATATACATTAAAAACCAAAAAGTTAAAAAAGATCTAGACATTAAAACCAATAATTAAAGCCACACAATCCAAAATCATAGTCCAGGAACCATTCCAGTAATAATTGCACTTACTCCATATCCACTTCTTGCTCTGAATTATTTTTCAAAGGCTTGGTCCCACAGCCATATTTTTAATTACTTTCTAAATGTCAGAGAGGAGGGAGCTGATCTAATTTTGCTGGGGAGGGAGTTACACAGCTGAGGGGCCACCACTGAGAAGGCCCTGTCTCTCATCCCCACTAACCGTACCTGGGAAGGAGGTGGGACCAAGAGCAGGGCCTCCCCAGAAGATCTTAACCTCAAGATGGTTCATAGGGGGAGCTACGTTTGGGCAGGTAAGCTGGGCCAGAACTGTTTAGGGCAGTGGCTCTCAATCTTCCCAGAAGCCTTGGCCTTCAACTTCCAGAAATCCAGAAAAATCGAGGGTCTCTTCCAAATCTATGATTATATGAAATATTTAGAGTGGCAGGTTTAGAGGTGGCAGCATTTATTTATTTAGCTATACTGAGCATGTCACTTAACTTGTTAGGTCTTTTAAAATGTGGAGGTGTGTGTATTTTCTATGGTTTAGAAAAGCTACACCTCTACTAAAGTATCAAAATTGACATGTTGTCAGAACACGTGAGAACTTCATTGTTGCAAGGCTCTTCGTCCCAACTTCACAGCTTTCTTAACCTGTTGAGAGAAATAAATTTTGAGAATCTGTGGCCTGAGTTGAAACAGAAACAGCCCATTGCCTCGCATGCAGAAAAATAACTCTAAACAGCTATGAATTCTTAGTTTGCTCCCTTAAACAGATTTGCAAAAGCATGTATGCAACCAGCAGCCATATTCCTAAATGGTCAAAGGAACATGATTTGCGTTTGCACCCATTTTGATTTTGGAGGTGATAACCAATAAATGCAGTACGTGCAACTGCCTTATTTTCTCAGTCCTCCGTAATGTGACTCTATGTTTTGCATATAACAATACAGCATTTGCTGTCGTGTGCCTTCAAGTCAATTCTGGCTTATGGTAACCCTAAGGTGACCTTACGAGGGGCTTTGGAATCACTACCTGGTGAGATTAGGCATGCCCCCACCTTAGCAGACTTCAAGGAGCCCCCAGTGGTGCAGTGGGTTAAACCCCTGTGCCGGCAGGACTGAAGACTGACAGGTCGCAGGTTCAAATCCGGGGAGAGGCAGAAGAGCTCCCTCTATCAGCTCCAGCTCCTCATGCGGGGACATGAGAGAAGCCTCCCACAAGGATGAGAAAAACATCAAAAATCATCTGGGCGTCCCCTGGGCAACATCCTTGCAGATGGCCAATTCTCTCACACCAGAAGCGACTTCCAGCTTCTCAAGTCGCTCCTGACACGACACACACCAAAAAAAAGCAGATTTCAAGAAAAACTTAAAAACTTAGCTGTTCCGATGTGCCTTTGGAGAGTGACCATTTATCCCATTTCTGTCTGCTCCATAGTGTTGTCCCTATGATGCACTTACCCCCATCCTAAACTGAAACCTATCTCACTGTTTATCCTTTTTGGGCTCAATTACATATTTTCTTGTCCTACCTCATTTTACTTTGTCCATTCAGCCCACCCATTCTGTTCAATTTTATAGTGTCACCTTGCTTTATTTTATTTTGCTGCTGTACGTATTTTATTGTTTATTTTTATTGTGCGTTTTTCTTGATTACATAGACAATGAAAGAGAAAAAGACAAAAAAGAACAAAACAAAAAAAAAGGAATAACGAATAACATATATACATATAGTGATATACATAAAATAGAGAAACATACAAATCTACTGTGACACCACCCCTCCCCCCTCGCCACCCTTCCCTCCCCGTGTTGTGACTTCCCATCGTCTTCAAAGAGTTTAATATTGTGATTGGTATTTTATATACGTCTCTGTGATTTCCGGCGTTTCTTCGATGTTTGGAGTTTCTTCAAATGCTGGATATGTCTATCATGATTGTCATCTTCCTTTTGGCTGTAATAAAGTCTTTGAATCCCTCCCAGTTTGTCTTTTTTGTTGAATTATTCAGACGTTGTGATAAGCTGTCTATCTGTATTATGTCGAATATTTTAGGATCCAATCCTCCATTGTCGGAGTGTCTTTTTGTTTCCAAATTTTAGCTAGGTTTATTCTGGCAGCTGTACTTAACAGAAAAAATATCCTCTCTTGGTTTGCATTAAATTTATGGTTGGAGACACCAAGAAGATACATTTCAGGTAATAATGGAAAATTTACTTTTAGAATTTTTTGCATTGCTGAATGTATTTCTCTCCAATATTTCTTAATTTTTTTGCAAGACCACCATTGGTGGAAGTACGTTCCTATTTCCTTTTGACATTTCCAGCATTTATTTGAAATAGATCTATTAAATTTGGAAATTTTTTCTGGACAATAATGCCATTTATAAAACATTTTATTTTGAAATAGATCTATTAAATTTGGAAATTTTTTCTGGACAATAATGCCATCTATAAAACATTTTATACCAGTTTTCAAGCAAATCGTTGGAAACTGTATATTTTAATTTCCTATTCCAAATCTCTTCCCATTGTTTCAATAGGATACTATGTCCTATATCTTTTGCCCATTTTATCTGGCATTCTTTAATTTGTTCATCTTCCGTTTCCCAGCATAGAAGTTGTTTATATAGCAGTTTAATTAAATTCCTTTCTTTTTGCATAATTACTTCCCAAATCCCTTTTTCCTGGCAGAAGCCCACCTTTCCATCTATTCTGTAGCTTTCATATAGTTGATGGTATTGTAACCATGTAAAATTGGGTTTTATTTGTTTTATTTCCTCTATTGACTTAATGGTTAGTTTTCTTTCTTCTGTGGTTTTTAAGATTTGTTTATATGTTAGCCAATTTTCGGGTCCCAATTGTCTTTTATGTCTCGCCTCTATTGGGGAGATCCAGATTGGTATTTTATTATATAGCCTTGATTTATATTTTTCCCAAGTTTTGATTATAGCAGTTCTTATGTAATGATTGTTGAAGCTCTTTTCTATCTTTCTTTTTTCATACCATATATACCCGTGCCACCCAAACCTAAGATCAAATCCCTCCAAAGCTAGTAATTCTTGATTTTTTAGTGTGGCCCATTCCTTGAAGCCTACAAGGTTGCACGCCTCATAATATGCCTTGAAGTTTGGCAATCCCAGTCCGCCTCTTTTTTTTTCGTCTGTCAAGATTTTGTAGCTTACTCTAGCTTTCTTGTTCTTCCATACAAATTTAATTATACCCGTTTTCCATTTTCTAAAGAGATGGTCATTTCTTATTACTGGTAAAGTTTGGAATAAGAAGAGCAGTTTGGGTAGTATGTTCATTTTTACTGTGGCGATTCTACCTAGCAGAGAAATGTTTTGGTGTTTCAATCTATCTATATCTTTTTTTATGGACTTCCACAGGATTTCGTAATTATTCTTTAATAGATTGGTATTGTTTGGTGTTATGTTCACCCCCAGGTACTTTATTTTGCTTTCAATTTTTAGGCCTGATTTTTCTTGCAGTAGTTCTTTAGATTTTTTATCCATATTTTTCACTAACATTTTGGTTTTTTGTTTGTTTAGTTTGAAACCAGCTAGGTTTCCAAATGTTTCAATTTTCTTTATCCAATTGTTTATATATTTTAAAGGGTCTTCCACAATACAAACTACATCATCCGCATAGACTTTTAATTTATACTGAAATTTTTGAATTTTCATTCCTTTTAAATTTGGGTCCTCATTTATGTTTCTGATCATTGTATCCATTATTAATATAAATAGCAATGGCGATAATGGGCATCCTTGCCGTGTTCCTTGATTTATTTTTATCGTAGTATTTGATTCCTGTCCATTAATTATTAGAGTAGCTTCCTGTTTCGTATAAATGGCCTCTACAGCATTGCTAAAATGGTAGCCGATGTCGATTTCTTTTAATAATAACTTTAGGTAATCCCAATTAATTTTGTCGAATGCTTTCTCAGCATCAATAAATAGCAATGCCAATTGTTTTTCGTTATTTTTTTCATAATATTCAATAGTATCTATTATCATCCGAGTATTGTCTTTTATGTGTCTGTTTGGTAAGAAGCCTGTTTGTTCTGTGGATATCCAATCTTTTAGCAGTGATTTGAGTCTGTTAGCCATAATACTCGTGAATATTTTATAGTCATTGTTTAAGAGTGAGATGGGTCGGAAATTTTTGATTTCTGTTGGGTCTGTGCCCTCTTTATGAATTAATGTTATGTTGGCCCTTTCCCAGGTCATCGGAATTACTTTATTTTCAAGTACATTATTTAGTATATGTTGCAGTAGGGGGGTTAGTTCGTCTTTATATCGTTTGTAGAACAGTGAGGTGAACCCATCAGGTCCTGGTGCTTTGTTATTTTTTAGGTTTTGGATGGCTATGGAGGTATTTGGATGCCTATGGCGTCCTGCCGTGGAGACGGATCAGAGCCAGATGTGCCACGTTGCCGGGTATTTTTGGAGATCTCCTTGAGGGAGACCCATCTTAAATACCGTCGGCCGTCTGCACTACTGGGTCGCTACTTCTGTGGCCTTAGACCACCTAACAGAAGGAGGGGGATACGCCTCAAACCCATCAAACCAGGCTATCTCTTTGGAGAGCCGGAGAGACACGTCCTCCACCATTCAGCCCTGTACGTATTTTATTGTGATGTAATTTTGTTGTCTGCATCTTGTATTTTATTTTGCTGTATTGTACTTTTGGGCTTGGGCTTTTGTTAGCCGCCCCGAGTCCCCTTTGGGGAAATGGTGGCGGAGTATAAATAAAGTTTACTATTATTATATTATTATTCCTTACAGAATGTGTTCAGAATGGGTTGTTTATGTTTATTGATGTTTGATATTGCTTGTTTTTTATGCTTATTTAACCTGTTTTGTTGGGCATGTCCCCTTGTAAGCCACCCTCAGACCCTTCAGGGAGATGGAGGCAGGATATAAAAATAAAGTTGTTATTATTATTTGAAACACAACAAGATGAGTCCACAGCAGACACTCGGCTGGCTGTTGAATTGGATTGAAATGTCTAGGACTGTGTGATGTATCAGCGAATAATGTGTGCAGATTTTTTTTATTTATTTATTTTGAGCATTTCTACTCCGCCCTTCTCAACCCCCTAGGGCGGACTCAGGGTGGCTTCCAGCCGGCACATATTCGATGCCTACATTTAAACACAATACACAATACAATACATATCACAGTAATTATAAATAGTTAAAACATTAAATTATTACAATAAAATCTCACAGAAAAAGCCAGCTTGGTGGCAGATCCCAGTAAGGTGGCCTTCTGCAGCTGGCAGATGATAATTTTGTCAGCACCGATTGTGTTTAAGTGCAGACCTTTAGGCACTGCACCCAGTGTGCCGATCACCACTGGGACCACCTTTACTCGCTTGTGCCAGAGTCTTTGCAGTTCGATTTTAAAATCCTCATATCGTTGTCAGCTTTTCCAGTTGTTTCTCTGCAATCCTGCTGTCACCTGGGATTGCGACACCATACTTTGTTTTTTAACACGATTGCTGTTGTTATTATTTTTTTATTATTTTGTCTTTGTCTTCCTGAGTCTGAGAAAGTGGGCCCTTGTCCAAGGTCACCCGGAGGTTGCCAAGGCTGTTTAGGGATTCGAACCCTGGTCTCCAAGTGTCCCACTCCAATATTCAAAGTGCTGCACCACGTTGGCTCTCTGTAAGTGTATTTGCATGTATTTAATTGTGATTTCAAGCCAACGTGGTGCAATGGTTTGAGCACTACACTATGGCTTTGGAGACCTGAGTTCGAATCCCTGCAGGGCCATGAAGACCCACTTTCCTGACTGAGATCTCTCACCCTGAATCTGACCATTTGCTGACATGTGGTCGAAGGAGTAGAGATCCTGGAATTGGCAGACAGTGGCCATGTGCCTCCAAGTTGCTTGCTGTAACTGGAATTCTCTGCCAGGGAGCTTTAGTGCCCCACCAAACTACACATTCCACAATTTCATACAATTCCACCACAGTAAACAACACTATATAACAAAATTTGAAACAAAAAAGTGTTCCTGTTTGAAATTGTTAATTCCTGATTAATTGTGCGGAATGTACTTTGAAAGTAGTTGCTATACCCCAAGGACTTTGTTTTTGTGACTGCCACAAACTACTGAATTGGTTGCGACTCGAAATATTCATTGAAAAACTATAAACATGCTGCAGGGTGTCCGGTAAAAACAAAGTTTTTGCAGTTTAATAAACTTTTTTTCCAAGTTTTTATGATAGAATCAATTAGGTAATAATGAGATTTATAACCCAGGAACAAATAATGTGAAGCATAGTATAAGAAATACAGACCTTAGAGCAGGCATGGGCATGGGCAAACTTGGGCCCTCCAGGTGTTTTGGACTTCAACTCCCACAATTCCTAATTGTGGGAATTGAAGTCCAAAACACCTGGAGGGCCCAAGTTCGCCCATGCCTGCCTTAGAAGCTCTTAGGGTGCATCTACATCCACTCTGCACTTAAAGCGGTTTTATACCACTTGAACTCAAAAGCTCAAGGCTATGGAATCTTGGAAGTTGTAGTTCTGCAAGGTCTTAAGCCTTCCCCGCCAATGAGGGCTAGTGATTCCCAGGATTCCACAGCTTGGAGCCGTGGCAGTTAAAGCGGGGTCAAACTGCATTAATTCTACAGTGTAGATGCACCCCCCCCCGCCCCCCTCTCTCTCTCTTAGTACTTTCTTTATTATACATACATTGTTTTCTCTTCCCAAATGACTTCTTCTCGGGTCGGGTTTTCCCAAATCCAAGTCGGCGCTTCCTTTTGGAAAGATTCATCTTCTTCGGGCCTTTGCAAGCGATAGTTAGATAGATAGGCGATAGATAGTTGCAAAAAGGCCAGCCACTTCCTTGCTACAAACCAAGTGGAGCCATCTTGGCCTGCTGCAAAAGGGGAAGCGCGCCACGTGCTTCTTCTTAAAGGCACAGTGCCTGGTTTTGCTCTCTGGTTGCGGAAATGAGAGCCTGACTTCAATGTTAGGGCTCTTGCAGCACCAATCGCTCTCCAATGCTAGAAATACAGCTTAATGGTGTAACATTAGAAAATGTTGACAATTTCCGCTACCTTGGCAGCCACCTCTCCACAAAAGTCAACATTGACACTGAAATACAACGAGCTCTGCGAGTGCAGCATTTTTCCGAATGAAGCAGAGAGTGTTTGAGGACATCCGTAGGGATACCAAGGTGCTTGTTTATAAAGCCATGGTCCTCCCAACCCTGCTATATGCCTGCGAGACGTGGACTATCTACAGACGTCACATGAAACTCTTAGAACGATTCCATCAGTGTTGTATCCAAAAAATCCTGCAAATCTCTTGGGAAGACAAGTGGACAAATGTCAGCGTGCTGGAAGAAGCAAAGACCATCACCATTGAAGCAATGGTCCTCTGCCATCAACTCCACTGGGCTGGCCACATTATCCGAATGCCTGACCACCATCTCCCAAAGCAGTTGCTCTATTCCGAAAATGGAAAACGGAATGTTGGTGGGTAGGAAAAAAGATTTAAAGATGGGCTCAAAGCCAACCTTAAAAACTCTGGCATAGACACTGGGAACTGGGAAGCCCTGGCGGTTGAGCGCTCCGGCTGGAAGTCAGCTGTGACCAGCAGTGCTGTAGAATTTGAAAAGGCACAAATGGAAGGCAAAAGGGAGAAACGTGCCAAGAGGAAGGCGTGTCAAGCCAACCTCGTCCAAGACTGCCTTCCACTTGGAAACCAATGCCCTCACTGTGGAAGAAGATGCAGATCAAGAGGAAAGCGTGTCAAGCCAACCCCTACTGGGACCGCCTCCCACCTGGAAACCAGTGCCCTCAGTGCAAATCAAGAATAGGGCTCCACGGTCACCTACGGACCCACTGGCAGTACACCGATCTTGAAAGACAATCCTACTCGGACAATGAGGGATCGCCTAAGTAAGTAAGTACTCCAATGTCAATACCCCATATACTCTGTAAGAATCATTTGGATGTCAACGTTTCATTTGTTATCCCTCTTACACATACACTTTTCATAACGCACAAATGTTTCTCTGCATATGCACCTAAATTGTCTCTGAACATGGACAGAGTGCCAAAAAATGAGCAGCACTCAAAAAACAAGAGAATTCCAGACAGGCAACAATCAGGGCCTGCTAACACCTCCCAACAAAGGATTCCCCCCAGGCAGGAAGCAGCCAGGCTTTGAAGCTGCAAGGCCATTCAATGCTAATCAAGGTGACTAATTGCAACATTGCCTCAAACAGACAAGAGTTCTTTGTCCCACCCTGGACATTCCAGAAATATATAAACCTCACTTGACTAGTTTCAAACAGTCCTCACAACCTCTGATGATGCCTGCTTTAGATGTGGGCGAAACGTCAGGAGACAATGCTTCTGGAACGTAGCCATAAAGCCCAGAAAACTCACAAAAACCCAATTTGGAACAAGATTAATAGATAAAAATATATCAAATAGGAGAGAAAAAAACAATATCGAGATATGATTCACAATGGCATTGAAGCACTTTTAAATCCGCACACATGAGCGTTTGGGGATAAAATCACTGAAACCAAAGGCTCAAATAAACACCAATATCATGGGCCAACTTGGGCCCTGTAGGTGTTTTGGACTTCAACTCCCACCATTCCTAACAGCCTCAGCCGCTTAAGCGGCTGAGGGGGAAAAGGAAGGGGCCTGAGGCTGTTAGGAATGGTGGGAGTTGAAGTCCAAAACATCTGAAGGGCCCAAGTTGGCCCATGCCTGGTATAGACTCATATAATGCAGTTCAATGAAGCTATAGTGCATTATTTGAGTCTATACTGACCATACAATGCAATTTGAACTGCATTATATGTTCAGTGTAAACTCAGATGGATCTACACTGCCATATAAAATCCTGCTTTGAACTGGACTAGATGGTAGTGTAGATCCAGCCTCACCTAATGCAAATTGAACTGCACTGAACTGGATTATATGAGGCTGGATCTACACTAACCTATATCTCAGGATCTGATCAAAGCAGATAATCCACATTCATCTGATTTGAACTGGATTACATGAGTCCACCCTGCCACATAATCCAGTTCAAAGCACATAACCTGGATTTTGTATGGTAGTGTATTATACAATCCAGTTCAAAACAGATAATCTGGAATCAGATCCTGGGATAAAGGGCAGTGTCGATCCATCCTGAGTCCACATCTAACCCAGTTCAATGCAGTTAATCTGCATTCTGAAACTGGATTATATGTCAATGTAGATGGGACCCTAGTGTGTGTTTTTCTGGAATTTTTTGTCGTGTCAGGAGCAACTTGAGAAACTGCAAGTCGCTTCTGGTGTGAGAGAATTGGCCGTCTGCAAGGACGTTGCCCAGGGGACGCCTGGATGTTTTGATGTTTTATCATCCTTGTAGGAAGCTTCTCTCATGTCCCCGCATGAGGAGCTGGAGCTGGTAGAGGGAGCTCATCCGCACTCTCCCCGGATTCGAACCTAAAACCTGTCGGTCTTCAGTCCTGCCGGCACAGAGGTTTAACCCAATGCGCCATCAAGGGCTCCTTTTTTCTGGAATAAAATGCTAAGACCTTAAGATCGTCCAGGGAGGCCCTGCTCTTGAGCCCTCCTGCGTCGCAAATACGTTTGGCGGGGAGGCAAGACAGGGCCTTCTTAGTGGCAGCCCCTTGGCTATGGAACGCCCTTCCTAGGGACATTAGATCGCCCCCCTCCCTCTTAACATTCCAGAAAAGAGTCAAGACCTGGCTGTTCAAGCAAGCGTTTGAAAATGCAATGTAAAAGACATAGGAACGACTGGATGACGAGATGGATAATGTTTTTAATTAGGAGACACAAATGTCTTATGTTTCTATGACTTTTGTTTGGTTTTATACTATGTATTAATGTTTTAAATGTTTTATGATGTTCTTGGGCATCGAATCGTTGCCTCTGTAAACCGCCCTGAGTCACCTGAGGGCTGAGAAGGGCGGTATACAGATATAGTAAATAAATAAATAAATAGTTTCACATCACTACATCCGGCATAAGATACTCACATTGTTTATGGAGGGTTTTCACTGCATTTCTTCCTTCCCTATAACAAACTACATCAGCAAGCGAAAAGAGTTCCAGTTTTGTAGATTACTTCATTGATAATCTATTGTGGAGCCCATTCTCCGCTTCTTCATTGATCTCATGGGCAGGATGTGCAAATGAATTCCCCCTTTTCCCCCCAGACTCTTCCTGCGGTTTTGGAATTTTGCTTCCATCCTTGAGGCAGCCAAAGAGTTGAAAGGATTCACACTGATTCCTCGGCATTTAGTAATTAAATACATTAGTCCAACTTCAGCAACTTCCATACTGTGTAGTACTTGCGTCCAGATTGATTCAGACTCCCTATTTTCCACTGCACTTGAGTGCGTTCTGCGAAACTAAAGACAGCTTGCTATGAAATTGAATTTTTTAAAATGACGATCCTTTTTCTAATTTAGCTGCTCTGATCATGTTTTCCAATTCCTTTCCAATTTCATGTCTCTCCATGCTCTTGATTTTCACTTTCCCTCCCACTGAGCACTGCTCCACATCATCCTGGAGAAAACAGCAAGAATGGTAAGCATGTATACCAGCATTGCCTAGACTTGCGTTGACAAATTAAATTCAGGCAGCCTAAACAGCAAAAAAAAAAAAAAAGGGAAATTGTGGCTTTGTTTACAAAATATTCATTACAAAAATTAGAGCGGCACAATAGGTTAAACCAGTGATTCTCAACCTGTGGTTCCCGAGATGTTTTGGCCTTCAACTCCCAGAAATCCTAATAGGTGGTAAACTAGCTGGGATTTCTGGGAATTATAGCCCAAAACACCCAGAGGCCCACAGATTGAGAACCACTGGGTTAAACTTTTGTGCTGACCTGAGGTTTGGGTTGCTGACCTGAAGGTTGTGGGTTCGAATCAGGGAGATGGAGTGAGTTCCTGTCTGTCAGCTCTAGCTTGTGGGGACACGAGAGAAGGCTCCCAGCAGGATGGTAATACACCCAGGCATTCCCTGAGCAATGTTTCTGTAGATAGCCAATTCTCGCACACCAGAAGCGACTTGCAGTATGTTCTCACATAACTTCTGACACAAGGTGCTTGTCTATAAAGCTATTGTCCTCCTAACCCTGCTATATGCCTGTGAAATGTGGACAGTCTACATTTGTCACATGCAACTCCTGGAACGATTCCATCAGCGCTGCCTCCGAAAAATCCTGCAAAGCTCTTGGGAAGACAAGCGAACAAATGTCAGTGTGCTGGAAGAAGCAAAGACCACCAGCACTGAAGCAATGGTCCTCCGCCATCAACTCCACTGGACTGGCCATGTTGTCCAGATGCCTGACCACTGTCTCCCAAAGCAGTTGCTCTATTCTAAACTCAAGAATGCAAAACGGAATGTTGGAGGACAGGAAAAGAAATTTAAAGACGGGCTCAAAGCCAACCTTAGAAACTCTGGCATAGACATTGAGAACTGGGAAGCCCTGGCCCTTGAGCACTCCAGCTGGAGGTCAGCTGTGACCAGCAGTGCTGTAGAATTTGAAGAGGCACAAAGGGAGGGCGAAAGAGAGAAATGTGCCAAGAGAAAGGCGCATCAAGCCAACCCCAACCGGGACTGCCTTCCACCTGGAAACCAATGCCCTCACTGAGGGAGAACATGCAGGTCAAGAATAGGGCTCCACAGTCATCTATGGACCCACCACCAATACACCGATCTTGGAAAACGATCCTACTCAGACAACGAGGGATCGCCTAATATAAGAGAAGAAGAGACATACCAAGGAATGGATGCTGTATGTGTGCATAACTAGTAGTAGAAATGCAAAATCTGTGCGTATGGTGATGACAAATTGAGGTTTAACTTGTATCACAGAACAGCACAGCTTCAGGTTGTGATCAATATTGTGGCTG